TGTTGTAACGGTCTTGAGCGGAGGTGAGCCCAGGGGACTGTGTCTATGCAGGAGATGAAGAGGCCCATTAGTCTGGCCAGAGTCATGAGGGAGGATCTTCTGCTTCGAGTGATCTGTCTGCAGAGACCGCGGATCGATTCCGCCTTGGGTCTTGGAAGAAACATTTTGTTCTGTGTCGTATCCGGGAGAACTCCCAGGCGCTCTATGGTCTGAGGTGTCACTAGGTGACTCTTTTGGAGGTTCACCAGGAAGCCATGCGACCGGAGGCACTGTAGGGCAGCAGCTGTATCCAGGACAGACTTGGACTAAGATGTTGAGCGGATCAGGAGGTTGTCAAGGTACGGGTGGACATGTACCCCTTGTTCTCTCAGTAAAACTATGGGGTGGATCAATATCTTGGGAAAAAACTCTGGGAGCAGTGGAAAGGCCGAATGGTAGGGCCCTGAATTGCCAGTGTTCACCTTGAATGCAAAATCTTAGAAAACGGTGGTGACCTTCCACGATTGGAACATGAAGATACGCCTCCTGAAGATCGATTTATGTCAAGAATTCTCCCGGTTGGAGGCCTCTGCTACTGAGCGGAGAGTTTCCATGCGGAAGCGTCTCAGTCGTACAAATTTGTTCAGGAACTTTAAGTCCAAAATGGCCCTCCAACTTCCGTTCCTCTTGGGCACGGTGAGAAAGATGGAATAGACATCTTGCCCCCTTTGGTGAGGTGGAACAGGTTCGATGGCGAGGATGCTGGAGATGTTGGACCGCATCTATGGTCCTTTGTAGTTTGAGACGATCCTTTATCAGAGGAGAGAGAACAAGACGGTCGGGAGGGATATTTAGGAGTTTGATGGAATATCCCTTCTCTGTGACCTCCTGGGGCCAGGCGTCTGCTTTGGACTCGGCCCAAGTCTGGTGGAATAAAAGCAGACGCCCCCCCCCCACCGGCGCAGCTGCACAGTCATGCGTTGGGGGTCTTGTTGCCCCTCCCTGACTTCTCGTCCCTGGGGACGAATGAGCTACTTATCGTCCCTGGGGAAGAATGAGCTGCTTGATCTGTTATGGAAAGGGTTGTGTCCGAAGGCCTGTCTGGAAGTTCCCCGTGAAGGGCGTCTTCCATCTCTGTTGAATCTGTATGAGGATCGAAAACAGCAAAAGGAAAAATTACCGGAACCCCTCTTGTTCGGTCTGCCAAGCGGAGGCGGCATTGTCGTCTTCCTGTCTTTTTCTCTCTACAAGAATTTCGTCTAGGGCATCGCCGGACAGACGGTCCCCCTGGAAAGGATAGGCCGCAACAATGCCCTTGGCGTGCAGATCCGCTTGCCTTATGGCCCTAAGCCATAAGGTCCTTCTTGCCGCCACTGCAGAGGCCAGTGCCCGAGATGAGAAGATCGTGGCATCGAGTGTGGCATCTGTGGAAAAAGAAGTGGCCTATTTTGCTTCCTCGGCCAAACGCTTGTTAGAGTCAGAGATCAGTTGGGACATCTTTTTAGACCAGGCAATGGAAGCCCTGGTCACCGCCGTAGCTGTAGCAGTTGCCTTAATGGCCAGAACCGTGGCCTCATGGGCTTCGTGTAAGGCAAACTCAGCTTTCCCGTCTAGGCTGTCTCTCACCATGCCTTCGCCATCTTCGGATAGCAGTCCCGAAGTCAGGAGTGCTGTAACTGGGGCGTCCACCAGGGGGACCTGTAAGAGCTTATCAGTGAAATTAGGCAACGCGTATAAATTCCAGCGTTCCGTGCGCCTTGGTGTTTAGTCATGTCGGCCACATGACCACGGAAACGTCTTTGGACAGCGCTGGCTCTTCGGCTTTGAAACGGAGATGAGCACCGCGACCCTAGAGTCGGACTCGACTGGCTTTCGAGCAAGGGAACCTTTACCATTACCTTCTTATAATTTCCTAATACTAGCCGGGCACCTCTTGTTAGCCATGGGCTTGGCCCATTCTTTGACTGGCTGTTTTTTCCAGGAAATCAGGGAAGGGAAAAACTTTTTCAAAACCGGGGGCTCTGGGAAAATAGTCCTTGCAGCCCCTGGGCTCCACTGAGTCAGCCTCAGGCGTGCCATCAGCTTTGGGCTTAGGGATAAATTCTAGTGCAGACATTGGTTTCTTAAGTAAATACGAATAATCCTCAGGTTTGAAAAAATCTCATGGAGGGTTCTGGAACCTCGATCTCCTCCTCTTCGTCTGGAAAGAACTCTCCCTCCTCCCGTTCTACAATCGCACTGTCCTCCTCTTGGGACATGTCCCATTGGGGGCGGGGGTCTGTTCTCAGGGAACAGTAATGGGTCTTTCTAGCCACCGTAGTCGGACATCTGGGTCTGTCCTGGGCTCTCAAAACAGTCCTCCCTGTGAGGCCCCTGGCTGGGAAGGGCACCTGTACTCCGAATGGGAACCCCTATGCAGGCTGGCAAGTTCTAGACCCTTTGTAGGTATCTCGCCCCTGCGATCAGGCAGATCCTGGGCATTCGGGATCTCGAGAGATTCGTCATCGTCACAATCATGGCTTATGGAAGCAGCGACAGCCACCCCGCAGCTTTCCAACTCCCTCATCTGGAGTTTTGCGCTTGGCCGCCTGATCCAAGATGGCGCCCGCAACGTGCTCCGAGCCCGGAGAGCGGGGCCATTTCTGCGCGCCAGATTTCTTTGCTGTGGAGGAGCTCGCCGCGGCCACGGGAGCCGAGGACATGGCTTTGGCTTGGCCGTGGGATCCCTGAGCCAGCAAAATCGCTTTTCCAGACTCATCCTCACTAAAGAAGCTGTCCGAGTCTTCCCTCTCAGACATGTCCCAGTCGGGGTGTCAGGGGGGAGCAGATGGAGGAGAAAGAGAAGAGGCAGAAAGGGGGAGGAGAAGTATAGGCAATGAAAAGGTAGTAAGAGAAAGGTTAGAATAGCCAGAGAGATTTTTTAGGAGAAACAGAAAGAGAAAGTATCCAAATAAAGCACGAGTGCTAGCAAAGTGCTGCTCTCCCTAACGAGGCAGGAACTAAACTGAGCTAGGGGGCGTATCCCACCAAGAGGACAGGAAGTGAAGTTTCGGTTCCTGCCTCCCTGAGGATGGGGTGGGAAACACCCAGCAAGCTGTCCTCCTCTCAGGGGAGAACGTGCGGTGGCCATGAGCTCTCCGTCTTGGTTTAGTTTGGCTCTTTAGGTGGGACCCAAAGCACTACCACCAGAGTGGACTTCCATTCCTCCCCGGCCCATTGCAGCCCACTGGGGCCACCGAAATTCTGCTCGGGGGGGGGGCGATCAGAAACGCCTGGGGAGATCTGCAGTAGATGGAGGGAAAGTGACATAAAACCACCCTTCTTACTTCCGCCAGCAGACATGCTACTCTGGCCGCCCTCAACCTTTGGATCTCACCTTTGAAGCATATGGAGCAGAGGTCCATCAGTGGCTATTAGCCACAAGGTATAGATAGGGGCTCTGGGGCAAGTGATGCTCTGTCTTCTTGGCGCTTGGACCCAGAGTGTTGGACTGGATGGGCCTTTGCCCTGATCCAACATTGGCATCTCTAATGTTCTTATGTTCTTATGATCTAGCCTCCAAGCTATTATTTTTCAACCAACCACAACCAAAGTGTTAAGTCATCAGGAATCACAACTCACTTGTCTTTCCGCCGCTGTCCTATGGATACTGGACTCACTGAGATCCTGGGCAGCGTGGAAAGAGAATTTTGCGACTGGCTGCTGGCGAAGGACGAGGTCTCCAAGTTCAGCGGCGACTGCGGAGGAGTGATCAGGCTGGGGCTGCTGCATTCGGAATGCGACAACGAACCTGCAGAGGATGCGACAGCTCCCATGGGATGTTTGCACAGGGCCAGCTGCAAAAGTTCTCTTAGTCCAGAGTCCCCAACGCGGTGCCCGTCGGTGCCCCGGCGCCCGCCGACACCTTTCCTGGAGCCTCACAACTGTTTTTTAAGACAGTAGGTGGGACTATTGGCCACTGGAGTTTTGATTACCAGTGCAGATTTTTTTTTTAACCGTTGCTTTGGCAAGGTACCCAACCTCCACCTCTAACTCAAACAATTTAAAAACAATACTGTAATTCTTTCAGACTTTAACAAGAGGGAAAAGGGATGTCCAGTAAAGCAATTGGGGTGGGGTTTGGTGTTCTGGTTTTTCTTACCTCGGTCAGAACTGATGATGGACCTCGGGTATCTTGGCGTCAGAGGTATTTTTATCCGTTCTGTTCTA